AAATGTATATTTGCATGCCAATTAAGGTAGAATGTACAAGGAACCTTAAAATTTTGTAACACCTAATAATTTGTACCTACATTCATAGCAAATAAATGATCTATTCTATTCTATTCTATTCTATTCTATTCTAATGACATAGATTTAGAGTATAGACAACGAATTATCAGAATGCAAATTAACACGGTGTCGACCTACCGTGTCTAATTATATCTAAGTCGAAATAGTCTAGGTACCACTCAAGATACAATATTATATTAGAACGACTAGAGCAACTTCGATGAATTACCAAAATAACTCATTGTGTAAGAAATACCTACAAGCGACATTATTGTCCAATCGAAATCTACCACTCGGTACTTGGCCAATCCAATTAAAACCTGGGGTGTACCCTGACGAATGGAAAAAGCTAGAATTGTGCCAATATACAAAAAAGGGGAACAAAACAATGTTAAAAATTATCGTCCAATATCTATTCTTTCTTGTTTCTCTAAACTATTTGAGTCTCTGATCTGTCCGGTCTTCACACAGTTTATGAGTCCCGTCATCTCCCAAGCTCAACATGGTTTTAGAGTCGGTCGCTCTGTGCACACAAATTTGGTCGTGTTTGTGTCCAGCCTGTCTGCTGACCTTGATGAAGGCAGGCAGGTTGATGCAGTATACACGGATTTTTCTAGCGCATTTGACAGAGTAAACCATGTACTGCTAGTGAGCAAACTACAAGGATACGGAGTTTACGGCAACTTATTAAAGTGGTTTCAAACATATCTTTCCAAGTGACCCCAGACAGTATCGGTAAAGGGATATGATTCAAGAGTGTACTATGCTGAATCTGGTGTGCCTCAGGGATCGCATCTTGGACCGGTATTGTTTTCTGTGTTTATAAATGATATCACAAATCACATTAAACATTCGAAATATTCTCTGTTCGCAGACGACCTTAAAATATATCAGACTGTTACTTCCTCGATGGACGTTAATCTGATACAGTCTGATCTTAACAGCATTCAGAACTGGTGTCTGTTCAATGGCATGACTCTTAATGCGGAAAAGTGTTACCACATTAAATATTCTAGAAAGCGACTACCCATACCATCGAATTATAATATCAACGGGACAGCACTAAAGGAGGTCGGTGAAATTAGGGATTTGGGTGTTACCTTGGATGGTAGGTTGAGCTTTACGTCGCACATCAATGGCATCACCAAAAGAGCTGCTCAAATGCTTGGGTTCATAAAAAGAAATACGAGGGCATTTCGTCAGGTGCAAACGAAGAAGCTTCTGTTTGATGCGTTAGTACGAAGTCATCCCGAATTTGCCTCAGTCGTCTGGAACCCACATTATACTATACAATCCCAAAGAATTGAAAGTATACAACGAGCCTTTACTAGGTATGTGGCATATGGTTCTTCCGGCGTGTCACATAGAGCTCCCTATAGCCAGAGACTGAAATATTTCAAAATGGACACACTACACCATCGTCGCAAAATACATGACCTAACCTTCCTACACAAGGTCATCAATGGTAATATAGATTGCAATGAACTTGTTAATTGCATCACCCTCTCGGTACCACGGAGAGTCCCGAGACACCCAGTGACTCGAACATTTCGTGTTCCTCTTTGTCGCACTAATGTAGCACAAAACTCACCACTACGACGAATATGCTCAGAATACAACGACCGTTGCGGGGACTCGGATGACTTGGACATCTTTCACGATTCGCTTCACGTGTTTAGGAATAAGGTAGTTAAACATTTAAGTAGTGTTAGATTGCTTTAATTATTATTGTTATTTTATTTTTGTTTGCTTTGATTTTTTTTTGTCTTTACTAATATAATTGTACATGGAATTTATGATCCCGTGAGTGTTGTGTACATCTGTCACTGGTATGCATATCCGAATTTTTAATTTTGTATTCAACTGTGTTATAGCTAGTGTATAATATGTATACTGTTGATGTGCGTTTAATAAATAAATAAATAAATAAAACCTCCAAGAAAAGAGCGTAATCCTTTTTAAAAGGCCGGCAACGCACTTGTAAATCCTCTGGAATCGCGGGTGTCCATGGGCGGCGCTGATCGCTTATCATCAGGTGATCCGTCCGCTCGTTTGCCTCCTATTCCATAAAAAAAATTATAAACTGACCTAGAACTCACTTGAACACAATTTTTTTAATATCTTTGTTTTACATTCCAGCATCAGTGACTGCTATCACGCTGCTGTTGGGCAGCTTCCTAGCGCCGCCCATCATGGGCCGGCTGGGCCGCAAGATCGCACATTTTGTGGTCATAGCCCTCATACTCCTAGGCTGGATAGTTATACTGCTGGCTACAAGTTTAGAAGTGAGTATACTCACTTACAGCATATCAAGATAGAAGAAAATTTATTGCTCTCCTTGTTTGGACACTATAACTAAATACATAATTGTGTTTTCATTTTCAGGCAATGATAGTAGGAAGGATAATCCACGGCATGTCATTCGGGCTAATGTTGCCTCTGCGTTCAGCCCTCCTTGGAGAATACACAAGCCCGAAGAACAGAGGAGCATTCCTCACCACTGTCTCTGTAGCACAAGCTTTCGGGATCCTGCTGGTTCACCTCATAGGATCCCTAGTGACATGGCAAAAGACTATCCTCATTGTCATCGTGTTTCCTCTAGCCAGTTTACTAATGACATTCTTTACCCCTGAATCTCCCAGCTGGCTAGCTGCAAGAGGAAGATTCGATGACTGCAGAAGAGTTTTCCGCTGGCTCCGAGGTGACGAAGAAGAAGCTGAACTTGAAGAAATGATCAGAGCAAGATGTGAATCTAACAGAGCCGCCATAAGCAACTGTAGAGATCTCATAGTGCTGATGAAGAAGAAGGAGTTCTACAAACCTATTGTGATAATGATCCATAGTTACTTGATGGGAGAATTCTCTGGTGGAGCTCTCATATCGTGTTACTCCACGACAGTGATCTCTTTAATAGCTGGTCCTGATGCAGACGCTCACTTATGGATGATAGAACTGGACACACAGCGAAACATATCGAACATCATAGCAGTATACGTGGTTAATAAGATAAAGCGGAGGACTATGTTCATGGCGACTGGAGGGCTCTGCATCCTTAGTAATATAGCCATTGCTGGCTATGTTTATGCCAAAATCCTTGGAGTGTTAACGTACACAGCAATATGGGTGCCAATTTTGCTGATCAACATACAGTTCTTCACTGTAGCTGTGGGCATGGTGTGCTTACCTTACGTCATTGCCGGGGAGATATTCCCTCTAGAGTACAGGAGTGTAGGAGGTAGCATAAGCATTGTGTCTATTGCCTGTGGGTACTTCCTTGTCACAAAGACCTTCCCTGCCATGGTGGAGAGTATAGGTCTCCATGGATCCTACGCGGTGTATGCAGCAGCCATGTCATACAACCTGTGTGTGGTCTGGTCTTTACTGCCCGAGACCAAGGGTAAGACCCTGCAGCAGATTGAAGACCACTTCAAAGGAAAGACTTCGAGTCCCGAGGAAGTGGAAGTCAGACAGCAACTCAGGGATAAACCAGATGTTGAGAAAGCCAAGGCTGACAGCTGATGAACGGATTTTGTTACAAATTGGACTCAGAAACAAAAAAAAAACAACTTAAAATAGATTTTCCACCTTGTGAATAAGAATGAGATTTGTTAATACATTAATTAATGTATACTGTACTTATTTATCGAATAAGCCATAGGTATTAAATTAAATACACAAAGTATGCAATTGCAATAAGAGGTAGCTCAATAATTATCTACTTGTAGGTAAGTGAATACTTTTATAATTGTCGATGATAATAAATGTGATATTGTTAGTATCAATGGTTTTATTGCAGTATATTGAGTAGATTATTGTGTTAATAAGATTTTTGAACTGTAGACAAAGTTAGAACATAACGTTAAATTCAAGTGTGGGAGAGGCATGCTTTGACACGCATGGGTCAGCTCGACCGTAGTGGTATAACGGCCTCACAGAAAACTGACGTGAAACAACGCTGGTGTTGTGTTCCGTCGTGTGAGTGAGGTTACCGGAGACCCAATTAACTCTCCCCGTCCCCAATCTCCCCAATCCCTGAAACGTGTCCAGGTGTCCATGAGCGACGCTAATTGCTTATCATCAGGGGATCCGTCAATTCGTTTACCAGCTTATCCCTTAACAATTAACATAATCAAGATTTACTACATAAGTTTATTTTGATCAGCTTTTTAGTTTAAAAAATGAGAATTACAGAACCGAGGTGGCTAGGAAAGATAATTGAAATATTTTATTGCCGATTTTTCCAACGCCTGATAAATTTTAACTAAAGACTTACTTTGAATATTTGACAATACTAAAAACATAAGTAAACTAATAAACATTCTAAAAAATTTAATTAATAATGGAAAAATCGGCCCTTAATGTACGTTGACACATTAGATATTATAAGGCGGTACGAAGTTCGCTGGGTCAACTAGTTTTGAACAGAAACATTGAAACATTGCCGCCATTGATATCAGACGTCAAAATGGAAACTCAATGTTTGCTCAAACCAAAATTAAATACTAAACTTACTCGTCTACCAGTTTCCTTTATATTTAAAGTGCTCTCGAAGGTGAAATATCCTAAAATATTAAACCAGAAATCGAGGTCTTTGTGTGCAAGGTGCGCTATCATTTTCCGTAACATAAACAAGCACATCAATCATGAGTTGAACGTATTTCAGCTGATGATGATGACAACATAGTGGATTATTAAAAAACGATTATAAAATATGGTTTAGTTTAACTAAGACTATATTCACTCATAGTTCATTAAACTTTTTATGGCTATTTTGTGGCATGGCGCTAGTGAAGTACCGATGCACGCGGTGCTCATACATCAGGTAAAATAAAAAAAGATCAGAATTCGTTGTCTGTGTACAAGAATAGGTGTTACGTCACAATCTGTATATAGTAACTTCTAATTGTTATGACACTTGTTCACACCTAAACCACGTTTTGTTTTCAGTTTGTGTTTGCATTCAATAGAAGCGTGCGTTAGTCTTAATTTTTATCATGACTGATATGAAATGTGGATCAGATAATTGCAAATATTTTGTATTGAGATAGCTCGAGTGTGTTACAAGAGAGTAGGTACTCCTGTCACGTGAAAATGTCGAGGAAAAGGAGCAGATTTTCACCATTTTTGAAACAGGTTAGTACTCATATAGAATTATGGCTTTAGGCCATTTCTTAATATTATAGTAGATTCCTTTTTTGTACTTTATTGCCAGCGTAATGTGGCTTAATATAATAATACCAACAAGTAATTTAGATAAGGAAATTATCACAGTTTGGCAGTGTGCCTCGTATTATCGTTTTTGATTTTATCGATCGGTAATATCATGACGTGAAGACGTGTCATTTGACAAATAGCAACAGTGGCGGTGGAGGGCGGTGGTTGTAGTCAGCACCGCCCATTTTTGTTGCTGGGTGGAGTTATCTGATGAGTTATCTGATCAGTTTCTCTTCTGGACATGAAAGGAGAATTTTTTTGAAAGTCATGGAACATAAGATGCATTATTTAAAGTATTTAAATAGGCATAAATAGGTACTATAAACAGATGGTAGTACCTAACATACTATACAATAACCAATTGCAGACCATCACCACCTTTTTGACTTCAGAAAATTGTATGAGATTCCCATCGGAAATCTCGCCTAACTTGAGATTCAACTCAAGCCAAAGACTAAAAATTCTGGGTAATAATTGCTGTTGATCCCACTTGCAGTGTTTCGTGACATCAGCAGTGGGCATCAACCTGATCGGACATGGGGCTGTGGTGGGCTTCGCTGCAGTCCTGCTGCCACAGCTTTCCAACCCTCACTCCGACATTCATACCAGTAAAACTGCTAACTCTTGGATTGGTGAGATTTGAACACAAAATATTCACAACATGCATAACTTTGACTTTATTTCTATTTTTCACAGCCACGTGCTTTTCAAATACAAGGTCGTGTGGATTTGAATTCGTCGCGGAGAACCTAACGGGTAACCGGGGCTCCGTCTCGACGTGCAGGATAAGGAACGAGGTGGTTTTTAGTCAGTAAGAGTCTGACACTCCCTCCCGCCTCACCCAGGCGGGAGCAGTCATTCGATGATTTTCCCCCCTTAAAAAAAGGCTAAATAAGTGATCATGTTTACATGACACCTGCCTAAAAGCTAATCGAGGCTTATACATAATTCACATCCGCACGTTATCAGCTCAAGTGATAAGATTAATTACAGCAATTAAAGCCTAATCACCACACAGGTCGAGCAGACTGATTGGTGGCGATTATTGGAGCAAGGACTTTAAGGGATAATTTTCTGAAATCACTTAATTGTTTTAGCTTATGTTAATTGCTGTTCTTTATCATTGGATACAGTATGAAAGGATTGAAGTACAAAAATGATTGATTGCTATAATTTTGCTTCAAAAGATTACCATCAACTTCCTCAATATTCTAGAAAGTGAAATGCATTATGATAATTTCTATGAGCATACTATATTCACGCAGATGTTCTTGCATGTTCCAGCATCGGTAATCGGTATAACCCTGCTGATAGGCAGCTTTCTAGCGTCTCCTCTAATGGGCCGGTATGGACGGAAGGTGGCGCACTATACTATCAGTGTGACAGCACTGGTAGGCTGGTTGACCACCATCCTGGCTAATAGTGTCGAGGTAAGGCAGAGTTTCGAGTCGAGGTGGATGTATGATGGCTAGTAAAATAACAATAATCATTCAATTGCAGGTGATCCTTATTGGAAGAATCATTGGCGGGTTATCATTTGGCATGATGCTGCCACTTCGATCTATCCTCATCGGCGAGTACACCAGCCCGAAAAACAGAGGTGCCTTCCTCACCACTATCTCTCTTACCCAGGGTTGCGGCATATTTTTCGTGCACCTTGTTGGATCACTCCTCAGTTGGAGACAAACTGCTCTGGTTTGTCTTTTTCTCCCCTTTGTCAGCCTCATCATGACACTTTTCACTCCTGAGTCTCCAAGCTGGTTAGTCTCTAAGGGAAGGTACAACGAGTGCAGAGAGGTATTTCATTGGCTTAGAGGTGATGAAGAAGAAACAGAATTAGAAGCAATGATTGAAGCGAGGGTCAACTTCGAAAAGACCATGAGGAATCAAAAGAAATTAGATATTATAAAGACTGTTCAGAAGCAAGAGTTTTACAAGCCAATCATACTGATGGTTCACGTGTACGCTATGGGACAGTTATCGGGAGCAGCTACCATTGCTGCATACGGCACTACTGTCATCGAGCTGGTGATGCACCCTGGGGTCAACTCTAGTGCTTGGATGATAGGCCTAGATAGTCAAAGAGTCATTGTAAATACATTAGCTATTTTTGTTATAAATTGGTTCAAGAGAAGAGCTATGGTGTTTTCAACAGGGATACTTTGTGTAGCGAGCCATTTGGCGATAGTTGCTTATGTGTATTTGAAAGACCAGGATGTTTTGAGCTCTGAGGCTATTTGGATCCCGGGTATACTTCTCAATATTCAGTTCTTCTCAGTATCTTTAGGTATGGTGCCTTTGCCTAGCGTGATAGCTGGGGAGGTCTTTCCTCTGGAGTACAGAAGTCTAGCTGGGAGCATCAGCCAAGCCTCTGTAGCTGGCACCATGTTTTTAGTGCTCAAAACCTTCCCAGGCCTTGTAGATAGTATTGGAATAACGGGCACCTACTTGGTGTATGCTGGGTTGCTGACTTACTGCCTCTTTGTGATAATGTTTTTGATGCCAGAAACTAAAGGGAGGACTCTGCAGGAGATTGAAGATGGGTACAGAGGAGGAGTCGTAGTTGAGGAAGAAATGAGGTCATTAAAGAGTAATGGGGAGAATGGAAAAGTTGTGTCTACAGAAACCAAAACTTAATTTAATTTATTATAAGAAATGTGCTTCAATGTAATAAAGTATTTAAGGATGAGCTATTTATTTGGTTTTAATGCATCTGTTACCTATTCTATGTATAGAAATGATCAGTTGGTCTCAATTCGAAGGCCTGACAATTTATTTAAGGTAATGGTAAAACTAAAGATGTTTCCTGTACACCAGACCAGTATAATTCCAGATTTCAATTGCTTGCAATTGAGAAATTAATTGATTTAATAAAAAAAACTAGGTACAATAGTTATTCATATCGTGATAAAATAATTTTATAGTCTACTAATAACGTATTTGGAATTCTACGACTTGAAACTTATCTTCGTCTATTTTTATGACTTAAAACCTAGTTGTGTACGTACATACAAACTAAAGATAAGTGATTTAGCAGTCAGATAACGAATGTGACTGTCCTACCTCTACATAATCTCTTATATCCTAGAAATCGATTGCTTTGTTTGTGTTTAGTTTATCGGTCACAATATGGAGATACTCTTTGACATTCTCAGCTAAAGGGCAGGCGGGTTTTGTGGACTGAAAACATTTTAAGTCTGCCTCGAGATTATGATATTCTGGACATTTTTAGATATCAAGTTTTTTTTTTCGATTATGTTAAATCACCTCTAGTTATAGCGAAGTGGAGGCGATGTGATGTAATACCTAAATACAATAGTTATTTAAGCAATAATGGTTTTTCTTGCTTTCCGAGACATGAAGGATTTAAGTTTTTCCAAATGGCTACAGCGTTAGACTTGTGTTAAAAAGAAAACGGAAGATTTGCTGCAAAATTGGTAAACCCCCGTGGGCCACCCATCAAAGTTCTGAATACAATCCGAAAACAGCAAAAAATACATTTTATTTTTTCATATTTACGTGAGGCATCCATGAACTACTTAGATAAAGATGTGAAGTGCAATAAAGATTCACAATAAAACTGTAAGACAAAGTTGTAAATATGCAAAGGACACTTTTATTATGTGCTTAGGTACGTACAGCCGGACGAGAAGATTAAAATAATAAACATTTTATAGCTGTTATACAATGAACAGTTGAATTAAGATATTACCGGTCGAGGATCGGTGGATTTAAAGTCTTAAATCGAATCTTTCAATGAAAATAATATAATTATGTACATAGGTACATGTTGTCATTAAAACAACGTTAAATTGTAATGGTGACATGTAAATGATGATGAAAAATTTAATCCAATAAAAAATAAATGGATTTCAGAGATATTGAAAAACGGCAATTTCGATGGATCAGATTAATGAAAGATGAAAGAACATGGAACTAGTTAAAGAAGCTTATGAATATTTCAAACCTCAGAATATTGGTTATACCTACCTAAGTATAAGGAAATTGCAAAAATACAAATCACGCCAAATTTCCGCCTACTCGCATGTGCAGATAATGCACAAAATGTTTTTTTGCAACTGGTAGCTACCGGTAAGGAGTGATATAAATAGAGGTGTCTGATTACAATTTGTACACGAAGATTGAAGGATTACCTACTTTTAAAAAGTAAAGTGTATCGCAATGACGTCAGGAGACACAGGCACAGCACCCAAGCGGCGCGTGGACCACAACGCATCATTTACGATATCTGCCAGATAAACGACAATTGTATCGGTAAGTATTGCCGCTGTTGTAAAAGATATCGCCGAACTAAGGCTGGGGATACAACAGCGGGTGGATGGAAAGACAGCTTTAAAATTTTTTATTCGGATATGGCAAACGAGCCGACAAACCACCTGATGGTAAGCAATCCGCACCGCCCATGGACAACCCTAACACCAGGAGACTTACAAGAGCGTTGCCGGCCTTTCTATGACTCCTGCCAAGCCGGACCATACGTGCCAAAGAACGGTTAGCCACGTTTAAAATGGACAATCTAAAACCCTGCCCTAAATTGTACTTATTTATTCAGGTTTGAACAGAAAGAAAAAAGAAATTAGAGTAGGAAGGAGTTTTATTAACATTCCAATCAGTAACTGTAATAAACAATTTCCCCCCCATATCAGAATGTATGATAATACAGGATCTATTCAATTGATCGTTTCGTTAGATCAAACGCAAATTAAGATATAACTGACACATGTTTTGATTGATTAAATTAATTACTTACCAAAGTAATGAATCACAAAACAAACGATTAGATAGTGTTGTATCCAAGTGAGATTTTTCTGTCTTGCCTAGACTGAAACTAATTAAAGTGTACAACAAAAAATATACCTAGCTATTAGTTCATAAGGCATCTTGGCACGCGCTCAAATATTAGGTATAAGTAATTTATGGGTATGGCAGCTCGGCAACACGACGTAACGATATATAAGTGTTTATCATAAATAATTAGTGTTAAATATCATAATTTAAAGAAACCGTTATCATAATCCTAAATATATAATAACAATTTCTTTATTTATTGAACAGTTTGACGGCGAGCGAGTGACAGTGCGGATCTGCCCTTAGATATCGATATTTCCATATAATCCATTGAGTGCAGTTAAAATGATAAACACACTTTATTTCACATTTTATTGTCATTGTCATAAATATGGAACTAGCTATCGGATAATACAGGGTCTGCGCGCTAATTGTAACAAAATAGCAACAAAAATGAACTGATATTTACATTTTGTGATATTAAATAGTGAAAATAGAAATATTTTTAAGTTATTTCTTTAAATGTGTAAACTGTTAATGTGTATGTGATCTTAGAAAATGGGAAAGGACAGAATTTCACCGTTTCTGAAACAGGTAAGTAAATAAAATAATATTTTTCAGATATCTAGGTAGGTAAATTCACAAATGAAAATGGACTATCCTAATTTCATAACATTCAAAATTAATTTTATTGATCTCTTTGTGTTAAACTGTCAAACACCAAGCGGTCACCGGTGACCGCAACCTATTGTTCTATAATTGTGTTTACAAAACCGGTACTCGACGAGTAGTACAATTTTACTATGAATGAAATATCTTGAACACAAAACACACCATGACAATAGACATCTAAATATCATAAATTCTTTAACAATAATTACTGTTCCTTTATAGTCGTCTAAGGGAACAGACCCTGGGTACTTTTTGCGATATACGTGGTTAAGCATTTTTGTTATTAAAAGATAGATAAAAATGAAAGAGCCTTTGTTCACCACATTCTAGTTGAAGATGATGGTGATAAAAGAATTTCCCTAACAAAGATCTCGTTTCGTCCAGTGTTTCGTGACGGCAGCAGTGGGCAGCAACATCATCGGGCACGGCTGCGTGATCGGCTACCCCGCCATCCTGCTGCCACAGCTGCTGGTGCCCAACTCACAGATACCGATGAGCAAGACTGCGGCATCATGGCTAGGTGAGTTTAAACTTCAATCAAGTAGAAACTATTTCGTTCTACATGTAACTTGTCCTTCAAATCTTGACTCGGTCAAAGTTACCTGATTTCTAAATAATCTAAGTTAGCCTTTTAACACGACTAACAAAATAAACAATTTAACTTCAAACTCAACAAAAAATGACAAAAATAAATCAACTACTTACAATAAGACCTCCAGTCTACATATTTTTCCTCTTTTACAGCATCGGTACTAGGAGTTACCCAGTTGCTCGGTAGTTTCATCACGCCACCTATAATGGAGCGGTTTGGCAGAAGGATCGCTCACTTGGCCGTCACCATGCCAGTCCTCATCGGCTGGTTTATCACAATGATGGCTACTAGCTACGAGGTGAGCATGAGCCCAAACAGTTACAACAGTCATTAATTGACATTGATACCGAAAATCTAAATAGACGCATAATTTTCTTTCCAGCCCTTACTTATCGGAAGAATACTCCAAGGCCTCTCTATCGGCATGCTCTCCCCTCTGCGATCGATCCTCATCGGGGAGTACGCCAGTCCAAAGAACAGGGGAGCCTTCCTCACCACCGTCTCCTTAACACAAGCCTTCGGTATACTCTTCGTGCACGTGTTAGGATCCATCCTCAGTTGGCAGCAGACTGCTCTCGTCTGCGTATTCTTTTCATTCTTCAGTCTCATCATGACCATATATTCTCCCGAGTCACCCAGCTGGCTCGTCGCCAGGGGAAGATACGACGAGTGTCGTGAAGTCTTCCATTGGTTACGAGGCGAAGAAGAAAACGCCGAGTTAGAAGAAATGATACACGCCAGGATGGTGTTCGAGAAGGCAAAACAAGAACAGAAACTTGGCAGGAAACCAAACCGCATGAAGACCGCAATGGCTACAATCCAGAAGAGAGAGTTCTACAAACCTATAATAATTATGATTCACGCATACGTGATGGTGCAGTTTGCTGGAGGCACCACCATGGCGGCTTATTCTACCACTATCATTACTCTGATCATGGGGCCTAACGTCAACCCCCACTTCTGGATGATCTTCCTAGACACGCAGAGATTCATCTCCAATACTATAGCAGTATTTCTCATTAATAAAATAAAAAGACGAACCATGATGTTCCTCACGGGTGGGCTGTGTGTCCTCAGTCAGCTCGCAATAGCTTCCTACACTTATTTGAAGCAGGAAGGCCTACTGACATACGATGCAGTGTGGATTCCAGCGCTGCTGATCAACCTGCAGTTCTTCACCGTCGCCACTGGTATGCTGCCGTTACCGAACGTCATCGGTGGAGAAGTGTTCCCACTGGAGTACAGAAGTATTGGAGGAAGCATTAGCTTAGCTACAATGTCAGCTTCTTTCTTCTTAGTGTTAAAAACTTTCTTAGGATTAGTAGAGAGTGTAGGCATACACGGTACATACTGCATATACGCGGGTCTTCTCACATACTGTTTACTGGTGATCTCAATATACCTGCCTGAAACTAAGGGGAAGACATTGCAACAGATTGAGGACGAGTTCCGAGGCAGGCCGCTGGCTCCTCGGGAGATAGAAGAGAGGATGGTGTTCCAGTCCTGCCCTGTGCTCACGTACAAGAGGAACATGTCGGCTCGGAGGCTCAGCACTCCGATCTTACATTAGCTAGTACTTTCCAGATAATCGTCAATTGTTTTACGCTTTTGTAAAGATTTGGAGTGATATTATAGAGATAAGTTATCTGCAATAGAACATTTTTTATTATTGTGATAAATATTCTACGTAGGGTTGTGCACGCTGCTGTGTGATGTTCATGCGTCATGGTTGACAATATAAGACTTTAAACGATTGCTGGATTTTTATTTGCACAACAGTTAATTGATAAATCATTGCAAGTCATTCGGTGATTATCCCTGAGGAAAGACTTTAGTTAACTGCAATCAATTATATTTTGTCCATAATATTGTAGCGTGATACAAATTATCAAATTCCTATCTGCCTACATAATGCAAGTGTTCACTTGTTCAGGTATGCAATATTTTTTATTAGGTAAAGTAGGTTATTCGATATTATTTATTATTTTTACTTATGTACAAACATACAACATAAATGACAACACATATATAAAATTAAAATACAAAGGTACCACCTATTCCTATTGGAATTCCTTCCTGTGGACCTGGGACAGGAAAAGTAATAATGATATAATGACACAGTGTGTATCTAATAACAAATAGAAAATGTATTTATTTAATATTACAGAGGACAACACATTAAAAGCGTGAGGTAGGCATAGGTATTATAGTGTTTATCATCGGTTACCACCAGGCGAGATAGTGGTCAAACGTTGGCCCATCAAATATTAAAAAAGATACCTACGATTCTCTACGGTAATGAAGTGTTGTGTATACCAAACGAGAACCGTCGTGTAACGATATCGTAATCCTTATAAATTGTGTATGCACATTACTAAAGGTACTGTGTAACACATCTTAGCATGATAGAAAGCGTTCCATTGAGTATGTTCAAAAATCGAACGCCTATCGATTCGCAAACATGCCTGAAATGAGCATACTATTTTGAGCATCATTCCGATACACATGGTACTATGTGACAGGTGCACAATTGAAGCATGCTAGCATGTATAACAGTACCATTATGCTGTAGTACATGCGTCCTGTTGAGTCTAAAGTGCCAATATCACGGATATTGTTCAGGTAAGAGCAACTAAAACTCCTATTAATAATGATAAAGTTATTATTGTTGCAACTTATATTTTGAGTGGTAAACAATAACAACAAGGTCACGGCGAAGGACCACTTGTGGACTGAACACTCGATAATGTAAATAAGAAGTTATTTACAATGTTTATATGTCAGTGCACGTTTTCAGTGTAAGTATAAAATCCTCATATTGTAGAAGCTGGAAAGGTTTTTAAAATAATTACTTAGATATTTCCTGAAGTGTGATTAGATTAGTATTTTAACTAAAAATCGTGGGTTACTCACGTGAATATACTGAGAAAAGCTCTACTAGTTTCGAACCACAGAGAGCTTCTTCCTCAAGAGCAAAGTGCGCGGTCGTGGCGAACGGAAACTAGTAGAGCTTTTCTCAGTATAGTCACGCGAATAACCCGCGATTTTTAGTTAATTTAGTGTGTCTCACGATAGTTTTATAAAAGATTAGTATTTTTTTTATGGAATAGGAGGCAAACGAGCAGACGGATCACCTGATGGTAAGCAATCAGCGCCGCCCATGGACACAACACCAGAGGAGTCACAGTTATTAAAACACAAGTGGGACACACTATCCTGTAAAAAGTGGTTTGATAACAAACTGCTCCACAACCAACTTGGGAGTTGATTCCCGCACGAAACAGCTCTTTGTATCAACAAATTGTTGTTCTGAGGCTGGATCTGAAGCGAATTTGTATGTTTGTAAATGTTCGAAATGTATGACAAGGGCACGAACCAAAAGTCCGTGGAGAATTAATAGTAAACATTAAAAAAATGTACATACCTATCAAAATAATCTGTACATAAAATCTATGTACTAGTTTAAACATCCACGTGACCATTTACCTATTTATTTAGCATATTATAACCAATATCAACAATACCAAAAGAAGGGACTATCAGATAACAACGACTACTATCTATCAGATAAGTTATTCGCAATCTATCGACATCTGTAAGTGTGTACTTTACTTGTTTTCAAAATAGATCCCTATCTTTGATACAATTTGTTTGAACAGATACATATTTATGTTTTTCCCTCTAAAGTAGGTGTTTAAAGAAACCTATGTTGATAATATAGTAATTAGTTTGTTTGGTTTTATATCTAGCGCTTTTCTTTTAATTAAATCTAAGGACTAGAGAGTACATTAACACTCAGACCACACGGTATGACGTAAGGCTGCACGGTTGGTGCGGTGGCTGGTGGTGATGTTCATTTTCACCAAAATTGACAATTATTACTTTCAAACAAAAAAAGTGGCATGAACAGAGTGTGAGAAAATTATGGAAAAAACCTGCGAGTTTAACAAGGTTTTTTAACTCGACTGTGGGAAGGGTATTGTTTTTTTATATAGGTACCTATGTACTCGAGACTAAGTAAACTATACAAACAAATAAAGATAGGAAAACATAAAAAACAATGAGGTAGAGATAGTGGTTTTCACAGAAAACCGACGTGAAGCAACGCTTGCGTTGTTTCACGTCGTGTGAGTGAGGTTACCGGAGGCCTACCCTCTTTCCCAATCTCCCCAATTCCTGAAACCCCAACAATCCTCAAACTCCTAATCCCCAAAAAGCCGGTAACGCACTTGTAACACCTCTGGTGTTCCAGGTGTCCATGGGCGACACCGATTCTTTACCATCAGGTGATCCGTCTGCTCGTTTACCAGCTTATGCTATAAAAAAGTGGTCAAACGTATCGCGTCGGCCCATCAAGTATTTTAAAAAATCAAATTTGTCAGCGCAAATAGGTCACACGCATTATACGCTCATTATATCCTAGCCTTATTAGCTTTGATAAGAATTTGAAAAAAATGTGTTAGTATCTGTAAAAATGAAATAAAAAGCCAAGCATTATTTTTCTATAATTTTCTATATTTATTTGGTACACAATAATGTCAATCTGTCCAACGATACGGGACGACATCCATTCATTTACAAACATTTAAACAATCTATTGAAGACTTTACAACACGGGTATAGTACAGATACAGTGCTCCGGTATTGTTGGACAAACATACGACTGCACTTAACTATATATACTGTACAATTATACGCGCACAGACCGAGGGCAGACGAATAGCAGCCGTGGTACTGACTGTTGTACTATAAATGAATGTCAAAACTGCAAAATTACATATTTTGGCACAATACATTAAACAAAGCCTTCAGACAACGTGCCAAATTCAATATCCAGTGATAAATTATTCATTTAAAATGCTTAATTAGGAAAAAATACTCATAGGAACTACATATATTTTCGCTACATTTATCATAATTATCAAAAATAGTAATTATATATAATATAAATATTTAATTTTATATCAAAATATATAGTAACGTCCTACAAGTATTGTGGGGGACTATTATTCGTCAACCGGCGTGTGCGCAGGTATCGAGCGTACATACATACATACAAATATTAAACATTAGGTCAGACGAGGGCTGCCAGAGATCAACAATTTTGTGTTTTAGCCATGCGTTTGGTGCACTTGGTTTGACATTATATTTGTTAAAAAAAAGCGTCTGGAAATCGGACTAGTAACTATAAATCCAGGTTATAAGGACTTTAGTGTGAATCCTAGATTCAAATTAAGTATAAGCTCAATAAAAATAAATTATATACCAAATAAATTATACACTTTAATTTAAAATAATTTCGAGTTAATTCTACTAAGTAGAGGAACACTACAAATCGTTTATAACATGCAATGTTAAACTAAATTAGTTAAATTAAACTTTACTACCATTACTTTAGAACTTATTTTACTGTCAAACCAAAAACACTTATTTATTAAAACAATCACAAAAATCTAAACAGTAAAAACAGTTTGAGACTTAGCGCTAAATGGCTGACGACAGTGCCGTCGTAACAAATATAGAACTTGTCTACAAGCGATAGAGTTCATATTGGCTTATCATTTGTCATTTAGCGGTATATTGTATATACAACTCTACGTTTTGATTATTATATATTAAGAAAAAAATGTATAGTTACATAATTTAACCAATAAAACGGTTTAAGTAGTACTATTGCACTGTCGTTTTTATATATTAAGATTTATATTAAGTTGTATATATATATATTGTATCGCAGTGTAGAGTTGTTGTACAGTAAGCGTAAGAAATATCAAATAATTTAAAATAGTTAATATTTTCATTGTAAATACAATGGCGTAACTAATTGAATCAATTTAACCTTACCAAGCCTTGTGTGATAGACAAGTCTTTCGAATATAAAGTCTTTCAGACGAGTTTTCAGTTGTGCAGTATAATATTTCAGCTATTGCTATCTTTTTCTATAAAGTATGATTAGAATGAGACAGAAAAACGGCAGCAGTCTAAAATTTTAACAGATGTTTTGTGATATGGGTTACATTCCTGTCTCCGTCTAATCATTGTTGTTAGTAAGAAATGGCAATATTTTAAATGTGTTCTTCGATATTTTCGGTATAAAACAAATATAGTAACATCACCATATAGGAAAAGTATAGATTTCGTAGCTTTTATAAGGTTTCGGTTATTGCATAGTTTCGTAAAACATAAACTTGGAAGACGGTAAAAATATATATAGTTTTATATATTATGTTCTGTATTTGTGACTAATATATTATAACTTTGTGCAATTTATATAGTGGTCAAAAATTTTGTTCAATACAAGTTTATTAGTAATTGTCTAAAAATCCTGGAAAGTTAACATTAAAGGATGTTAAAATCAATAAAAACTAACTTTAAAACTTGGAATAGAAAAGAAAATCTGGTAAGGTATTAGCTTTATTTAATCGTCTTATTATAAACTATTATATAAACATTGATTCACAAAAGAAAGGCCAGTGCATAAATATTTTCGACAGTAACATATTAAAACAGATACTAATTCAGTCAAAAATACATAAAATACTTCAAAATTTTCAAAGACATTTTAATATCTGTAAAAATATGTTGTAAAGGACGCGCCTGACAGATTATACTTGCGTACTTCTGTCAGATGGGTGCTTTTCTTTAATATTCACTTACAAAGGTATCAAGCTCTTACAACATTATTCTAACAATACATATACATACATCGAACTACATTTAAACATTATTTACAATACAATAAACGCTTCCGACCAATATAAAGCAGATACACGTCGTTTACTAATTGGTCTTGGAACTCAAGCTTACAGGGAGAATGTATGGTACATGTTGCTTCGCCATCTTATCATATCAACATATATATACTGTATATATGTATGGTATATCGCGTATAATGAACTCGTCGCTTTGTTTCCTGTCTCGTGTCGTGTGTACTTCACAGAGAAGAAATATGTTGATAGATATAACATATATATATAGAACAATAACCACGATTACTTTACATAAACTTAATAATGTCGTGTAACAGTGTAAATGTTGTAGAAAAGTGTTCATCTATGAGTTCGGTCATATTTTAATTTAAATTCTTTAGTATATGATGATGTCTGTACAGGTTTCATAGAAATAGATCGGTAGTCGGCACTACTCGTTACTCAGTTAAGTTTTAGTAATTGAAAGTAATTAGACAATGAGTGCCTCACACTCCACACAGACACACCTCGCACACATATGTATCTACTACTTACGCTATCAGTTTCTTGCAAAAATTCCATTACATTAAAAACTTTTTAATTTTCTCGCAAGTTTTTTTAAAAAATATTTACAAAAACGTTTCTCGTCTGTCCGAAGACCTTGTCATCGCGTCGGTCGCCCAACATTAACATGAATGTGGCCAAAGTGAACAAACTTTTAATACAACTTCAAAAATACAAAATTCTAAATACCCACTACAATTACACTAAAGGCACAACTAATCGCTAATTTATGTATAAAAAAAAGAAATCATATTTACTAATTTCCAACCGTATAACAAGTAAATAAAGTACAAAATTAGTAAAAATAAATCTCAAATATTTGGCTACATTCAATATTAACATTGACAGGACTGGAAAATGTTTCAAATATAAATATATTTGTTACTGTGACGTAGGAATCTGTCTGGTATAAAACTTATGGGCACAACCATTGATAGTACAATCAATTTTCCTTAGAAGTAAATTACATTTTGGCATTTTTGAACCATTTTAATGTTGCCATTATATAAAAATACAGTGTTTCCCTTATAAGTGTTATACCAAACGACACTAAGGACTAGACAATACAAAACTTACTACTTTACAAGCGGATGCGCTTGCGCAGGTCCACAATACATACACTAGTCCTTCATTACCAATTATACATAATATATTATACATAAATTACATAATTTCCCAGTCCCGATACCTTAATTATTTGTCAGTTTTATTTTTTTAATAAAAATATTAACTCTACTTATCCCACTCGTCGCACTCTGAAGATACCAACTTTTGTGAGAGAAAGAGAGGCAAAGAGAGAGAGAGACGTGTATATTTTGCTAATATTTTAACAATAACATTGGTTTAAACATGAACATCTATTTGGAAATGTGGCTGATATAAATTACTGTAGAAGTAAATCAAGGATAAGTTGAATATATTTGTGTCTAATAGAGGAAAATGTAATATTTGTATGTTTCGATATTACTCAACTAATTGGACACATGATTTTAAAAAAACATTAAGTAATTCCTGCATTTAACCATAATGATTCACCATGAAGATAGAGATTCGAGTACATAAAACGAAATTTGTTCTCTCCGCGTAAAGTAAATAGTCCTAGGATATCAGGAAGTCAATAGATGACAATGACAATAAATTTAATTGAGGTCATGATCATCCAATTACCCACAACACTGATGGTGTCATCATTTTGTTTTCATGGCGTAAGGCAGCAAGCAAGCAGACAGATCTCCTATCACCTGATAGTATGCAATCAGCGCCATCATGGACATTCCAAATACTAAGGTTGCCGGCCTTTTGGGGGAATTTCAATTAGGAGATTTTCCTTTGAGTACCTCTACAGTAAGTTATAACCTCCAAAAACTGGGTTCAGGGGATCCTACTAACGATGATCTAAACATGCATTAGGACTATAGTCCCGCTATGGCAAAAACACTTGATAACAGTAATTTTATTTATTTATTTGAATATTTTCTATTAAAACATTGAACGATTGCTACTATATGGAGTTTTTTTGTTATGACACAGGATTATCAACTTTAGGTTTCAGACATTAGATGTCAAAATTGAACATAATATTTTTAACCATAAAGTTGAAACTTGATTTTATTTTGTGTCATAACAAATCAGACTCTTTAATTTGATCTAAAAATCCATTGAATCACATTGAGATAATAATTTTAAAAATGTTTAATTATTCTACTACATTTTGCAATTAATGTTCCCTCTCTTTTCTTTATAATATAATCTGAATCATTCTGTCTCGCTCAGTCATCAATATATTTGATCTGTATCATTTCATCACGGGAACATGTCCATTGTGAAATCAATTGTATGGCTTTACAATAAGCTTCAATTTGGTTTTGTTTCTCTAATCACATGCTATCTCGATATTGCTTCTACATTTGTCTCTCTACCCTTCAGTGGAATGGGAGGAGTTGAGCGAACATGATCTTAATATTGAATTGAATAAGGTATATTTTACTTTGTTCCATTATATTAATGATTATTATAATACTTTAATTTGATTGCAATTACTTATTCAATATTTAAGTGGAGTACTTGTGTTTTTAATTTTAAATAAGTAAATAGTCATTTGTCGTGAACATGACTTGTATTTAATTTTAAGTAGATAAATGTTCGCCCAAAACTCCTAGTTTAGCCCAAAATGTTCAAACCAAGTTTGTGTGGCAATTCCAGTGTTTGGTATTTCATAGAAATATAATTAACGTCATATTTTATTTGTTGTGGACATGTTTGTATATTGTAAAGTTACAATTTTATATTACTTTCTATACATTTTGAACAGCATTATAAAACTGCATCTAACAATGTTTATATTGCAACAACTGCGTCAAAGTCTGCAATACAATAAATATTAAATCCGAGTTAAACTTGAACCAGTTTTTATAAGAGTGACAGTAAACTAGATAACAAAACTGCAAACCGTATCACTAGTAGAAGGCTGGTGCAAGGCCACCGTGGGTGGGTGCGAGATGCCCGCGGCACTAGTGTCGTTGCTGCGCGCACGTGCCGCAGACATAGTCGTCGTCCTCCCGCAGTGCCGCGCGGGACAGCCCCACGCAGTGCATGTGGAACCACTGGTCGCAGCCCCCGTCGCACTGCACCCAGTCCACCTCCTTGCCTGGGGACGACATTACGTATTACACACGAACCACTCGACGGCTAGAGAACGTCAACTTAGACAACAAAGAGACTGCCGACACTGATTATTAAGCTTTGCTAGCAGGATAAAGGGAGCCACCTTCACATGGCCACGGCCTCACCGAAAACCAATGTGAAACAAGTTACATTGTGTTTCACTGTGTGAGTAAGGTCACTGGAGAGGCAGTATTTCTTTTTGGTAACATCTCTGGTGCTACATCACGTGATACTTTTTCTTATTTGCCCTTATCCAATAAAAAGTACTCCATCCTCTAGTAGTCTGGTGTTGTCATTATTCTGTTGGTTTGTTCCTTATATTTTAAAAAAGCAGTGTCTATAGTAACTAATATATGTATAGAGGTAATGATCATGATGATATAATACTGACCAGTAGGTCGAAGACAGTTCTGTGCAGCGCAGTCCTCGTCGTCCTCTACGGAGGAGGCGGAGGACGAACTACTCCGTCGTGCAGTGGACGCGCCGCCGCCGCGACCTGTGCCTGAACCTGAAGCTGCGGCACGTTGGCCTAGGAATATACGAAACAAAATGTCAGATATATGTAGGTACAATACTATTAATCAGTTTCTATTACCTATCTCTGGGTAAATTAATAAGCCATTTTGATATAATTTTTCAGACAAGATGTGCTAAAATTGTAACCACATCCATCACAAGATTTCCATTTTCTAAAGCTGTTTGTTTCAAAATCATTTGCATTGTTTGAGACTGAGTCCTTAAATTGGTTTCTATAATGAAAATATTATTGTAGGCTTAGTTTAATTTACGAGCCTTGCGATAAATTAGCTATTATTGTTTGACCTTAGCAACTACTTATGACCATAAAGAGACATGTTAAAACATAAAAAATGATTTATAATTCCATAACAGTGAAAAATTATTAGTCACTCACCCATTCTAGTCTGTCGCACATGCTTCCCCCTAGTAGGGGGCGCGAGTCCCCGCTTGCGACGCTCCTGGCGCGCCATGTAGTGCTTGCGCATCATCAGACTGGAACCTGACGACATGCCCTGCAAGAAATAAACAATTTAAGTATTCATGTGTAAAGTTATAAAAGAAAACTTTAGCAGTTTGATGACCTCAGTCAATACTTGTAAAGTATAGCGATTTTTATAATATTCTATATGTATGTTACAAACAATCTACTACACTGGTGAAGCGATTGCAACTGTCATGTTGAGCAAAATGATTTTGTATTTAAGTGTCGTGTTAAACATTTATAGTTTTAGAATTTCTGTATAATGATAAATCTTCGATTGATTCTCTGTATTGCAATAAATCAATTCTAAAGTTTAGCTTGTTGTAACATTCTTTAGCTATGTTATGTTCTTACCTGTTTTCTATTGAGATAATTCGTAGTGGTAGCTGTGCCTCGTTTGAGAGTAGGTTTTGCTGCAGGTGGAACTGTAAGGAAGCAAAATTGCATGTATTATTTTGATATTCCTTGACTATAACCGAAAGTTCATTTCCATGGACTTTCTATAAACACTGATTAAGTTAGTAAGGTACTAAGTAATTAAGCTAGGTAGCAAGTATGTTCACGTGGGTAGTGTAATAGTATATTTCAAGGTAGCATGGCTTATGTTATTCGAGATAAGGTGGATTCATTTTTGAGTGTTCTGTTGTAGTTAAATTGCGTTACTATTGCTGGAATATTAAATTTTAAGTCACACTTAAATATAAGTCATTAGAAATTCTTTGTAAAATGACAGAGATGATGTGATATTTAAATACAACTTAAAATTGAGTTGTCTTTTAGTATTCGGGTAAAGCAAAATGACAAAGAATTTGTAGTGATAGAAGTGTATCGAAGCCCGATTTAAAATTGAGTAGCGTTTGAGTATTTGGACATGAGTATGTTGTTGGAGGTTTAATTGTTTGTTGGCACGTATTATACTAGTCTCCCACGTGTGTATGAGTGTGTCTGCGAGTGTCCCGTCCGTACCGTGGTGGTGCCGCGTCCGCGTGCGCTTCAAGGGGTGGTGGTGTCGCGGCGCGCGCGAGTGCCGCTTGCGGCGGCCCGCGTCGTGGCAGGCGGCGCGCGCGCCGGCCGCGGCCCGCGCGCGCGCCACGGCGCCCCACACCGCCGCCTGCTCCTCCAGCCGCACCTGCACACGCATTGCATCACGTTACTGCGACGACGGACTCCACTACACTACTCATTCATAATAATAACATTTTTAAATACATCTTAATTACGTACAATTCATCTCAAATAGTTTGATGCCTGCACTAGGACAATATTGTATAGCAGACAAGAGGAACTTGGGGGCAAACAAACGGAGCCACTATCATTATAACTTTTGCAACAAAAGTTATAAACGAGCATGCATTTTAAAAATAACTGATTTACCTTTTATACAAGATACATAACCAATTTATAAAATATTTGTGTTATAACATATTCAACAAGAAATGAAAAAGAAAAACACTAGTAGCTCCAAACTTTACAACCAAGTATAGTTTTCATTCATTTATATAAGCATCACACATGCACATTACACGAGACGATAAACTCAAATAAAGTATTAATATTTAAATCATCAATATATCAGCCACAAGACATCCACCACAGAATATAGACTTCAACGAATTTCAGATATAAGGACATTAAGTTTCATTTTATAAGTAAATTTAAAATACAACAACAATATTACCTCTAACAAGTCTCCTTCAAGCATCAAATCCTCCAATTTTTGTAACAGGCCGGGTGCGGCGCGTGCGCTGGGAGATCTCGGTGTCGCACTGTATGCATGCTCCACGCTCGCTGAGGATCTGTCGAGACAACAATGTTTATTGTTAAAACTACTGTTAGCGCAAATAATTTGTTAATTTTTACTTAGGTAAAAATTACAAAAGATTTTGATACGAAATATTAATTTAACAGTGCAATTGCGAATGATCTTCTCATTTCAGACTATTCTGAATAAATAAATGTAGGTTATTATGTTCGTCGATGAGTTTCGAGTCCGAGCGGAGCCCTGTAACGTAAGGGCGTGTAATGACCTGGCGTTGTGGTGCGCGTGCGCGAGGTGCGCGCGGCCGGTGGCCTTCTTGAGGTCGGCGTGCAGCTTGTCGGGCGCGGCGGGCGGCGCGGCGGGCGGCGCGGCGTCCCGCGCCAGGCCGGGGCTGGCCAGCAGCGCGCGCGCCGCGTCCTGCCACGCCATGGCGCGCTCCGTCACGCACTGCAGCGCCTCGCCCTCCGCCAGCCGCACCGGCAGCTTCTGGAGCCACACCTGGGACATACCACTCTATTAATACTGCGCCTCTTAATAAAGAATAAACACCAACCACGTTTATCAATAAAAACACGATAGAGAAACGATTTTAAGATGGACATTTCACCCATTTTCGCAGTGTTTAGCTTCTAGTTTTACATGAACTACTAGAATTTATTTAGGTGTCTTTAAATGCCCAACATTTTGAGACAAAAATAAAAAAAGTTTATGCTATATTCCCCACACACGATTGGCAACTGCAAGATCGTAATGAAGTCACCGAAAATTTAGAGGACAATGCTACCCGTTACTCAAAATTTACTCTTAATTTTAAGTCAAAGCTGAAAAAACACGATACTATCAAAATATAAAAACAATAACGACTTTCACTCACCAGTAACGCCAGTATACGGTCAAGTCGCGGCCTCTTCGTTCTAACACAGTCGGAACACAGGAACTTGGGCTCAGTTGTTGGGAAGCTGGACTCCACGCGCTCGGGAGACTCTTCACGTTCTTCCTTGTTCGCGGCTATGCAGGAAGCTGGAGAAGGAAATGACAAAAATGTGTTAAGGATGATAAAAATGCATTAAATTACCATGAAAAATGTGTCGTGCTATGTTTACCGGTAAATAGAAATTCCATAATGAAAAATAAATCCTACTTTTATCCATCGTGCTAGAATGCATAAAACTTTGCTTGACAAGGGACTTAAACTTGCTGTTTTTATGTTTCTGGCGAATAATAAAAAAATAAATGTAGGTATCTTACCGTGGAACCAATCTTTGCACAGTTCACACTGCGTCATGACGCCATACTGTCGCTTCTGGCATGTACAGAATGTCACCCCCGCGGATACTGGGGCACGGACTTCTTTGCGCATGTTGCGGGCTCTGGAATTTGCATCATACAGTTATTTCAAATGTCATTAATCTAATCATTTTAAACACTACATTAGCACATGAAACTACTCCGTAATTTTTTTTCCTTCAACCCAATATCTGATGAAATGCTGAAGTGATTTATCAGTGTTTTAGCTACATCTAAAAATTCTCAAAATACATACATATAACCATAAGATCATAAAATACGGTACCTTAGATCTTTAATAGCTTGCAGTTCTCTCTGCTCAGCGTGTTTGAAGGCAGCGACAATATCAGTGGGGGTGGAGTCCTCGCTGAAGTTCTTGAGGAACAGCCCCGCCTCCAGCGAGGAGGCGGGCTCCCCCCCGGCCGCGCCCGCTGCACCTGCGCGAGCGCGCCGCTTGCTTACTGTCTCGCCTACTTCTACGCGGGGAGACAGAGCTTCTAGTAGAGAGTAGGGCCAGTTCTGGAAGGAGATAAATTCATATTAGGATTCGCCTTCATCAAGTGTCATTAATGTTCAAATTTTCTCCATATGAGACTGCTCAGCAGCCTAATAGCAGAAGAATATTTGCGTACCTTCTTGAGGAACATATCAGCAGCTCCCCGCTTCCAACTCCTGGCAGACTGCAGCGCCTGTGCGAGCTGGTCCTTCTCGTAGAGCTGCAGAGGTATACTAGCCCCGCGCCGAACCACGTTCTCCACGCTGTGCATGTACGGGTACAGTTCCTTCGACTGCATCTCCTCCACCTGGATATAATAGCGTATATTATGTTAGAAAAAGACAAAAAACATGTCAATGTTTGAATATGTCTAACGACAGAAATTATCAATAATATTGCAGATGGCGCTGCCAGTACGTAAACATCGGCTCCGTGTTTGAAAATTATTATTAATTTTAATATCGCGTAAATCATATTGAAGGTTGTGTAAATGTGACCTCTCAAACACCCACTGTTCCTACAACTGTTATCCACCTAATATATACAGTGCAAACAATAAACAAAATGTAGCGAGTTACAACTTGGACCACCGCCTTATAATGCGCGCAAAATCGCGGCCGCTTATGAGCTTGGGGCCGCGGGCTAAAATCATACGATGTTTCAATTACTTGCGTGCGCGCAGTAAGCGGAGGTACTTCATCAGTTTCACATCGGCGACGGAAACTAGTGTACACGCGCTTAGACGTTGCTTGCTTGCTTGTTTATAATCTTATAATATAATATTCTATCTTCTATCTAATAATACTATTCATTTCTTCGAGTTTCGTTCTTCATTCTTCCTGCTATCCCGCTACGCAGCCAAGCTATAGTGGACCTTAATAGCTTAGCGATAAGGATTAGATTCCTAAACTCGGTTAGTGGCTAATGTGCAATTACCCACTACATTGGTGACCCTCGACGTTTTGGACAAAGGATCGAAGACCAGGATCCAGACAGCAAGAGTGTGGAGTGGTTGGTACTGGACTAGCGGTGAGCGTTTTCAATTTAATTAAATATGGCTGAGTCGGATGCTTACGCAGATTGCAAGGATGTTCCCGTCATCTCGGGGCATACAGCGGCAGTTGGAATGCCTTTGCGCTGCCCTCCATTTTGTCCGGACGAGCCAGCTTTGTGGTTTGCACAATTAGAGGGACAATTTATTCTATCGAGAATCACAAGTGACTCCACGAAATTTTATTACGCATCCACTCAGCTCGAAACAAAATACGCCATACATGTCAGTGACATCATTACTAATCCCCCAGAGGAAAACAAGTTTAACAAGTTGAAAACAGAGCTAGTAAAACGCTTGTCGGCTTCTCAAGAAAAGCGTATTCAGCAGCTACTTATACATGAAGAATTAGGTGACCGCAAACCTTCACAATTTCTAAGGCACCTACAAAAACTAGCAGGGCCTTCAGGCGCTGCAGAATTTGTAAAAAGTATCTGGACAGCCCGGTTACCTCAAAATGTACAAACTGTAATCGCCTCTCAAATTACCGAATTACAGGTGGAGCAATTAGCAGAAATAGCGGACAGAGTAGCGGAGATCGCACCTATGATGCCACAAATCGCTTGCACTTCCGCCTCCACGACTACTGATTCGTCGGACTTGGCAAAGCAAGTGAGCGAGCTCACTAAGCAGGTAGCCTTGCTCACGTCACGCTGGGGTAACAGAGAGAGACAACGCTCACGCTCACGATCACGGTCTCGTTGCGACTACCGCAGGTATGAACGCTCAAAGCACAGACCACAACAACCACCACAAAACCACCCACACTGTTTTTATCATTTCACCTACGGCGACAAAGCTCAAAAATGTAAACAGCCATGCTCATTCTCAGCGGAAAACAAGAAGGGCGGTCGCATGTAGCGGCCAACGACTGCCCCATCTCTTCAGGCCGTCTATTTATTACTGACCGGGCCTCAAAAATGCAATTCTTAGTAGACACCGGCTCAGACTTGTGCGTGTTTCCCCGGTCCGCTCTCAAGAAGCACTATAAACAATCAAAATACGATCTTGTAGCTGCAAACAACACAGTAATACACACTTACGGCCCATTACAACTTCAGTTAAATTTAGGACTTAGAAGGAATTACAGTTGGATCTTCACCATAGCGGACGTTTCTAAAGCGATAATTGGGGTAGACTTTCTAAGTTTCTACAATCTGCTGGTAGATTGTAGGAATCAAAGACTGATCGACAATCTCACATCATTATCTGTACCTGCAACATACTGCAATTCTGTAGATATTGTTTCGCTGAAGGCAGTGGTAGGCGACTCTGACTACCACCAAATCTTACGTGAATATCCGGAGATAACACGACCTCCAGGGAAACAGGAACCTGGAAAACATAGTACCTTGCACTTCATCAGGACAACACCAGGCCCACCAGTGGCGTGCAAGCCAAGACGTCTAGACCCTTCTCGATTGCAGGCTGCCAAGAAGGAGTTCGAACAGATGCTTGCAAGTGGAGTGGCACGGCGCTCGGAGAGTCCTTGGTCAGCGCCACTACACCTGGTGAGAAAAAAAGATGACGGATGGAGACCATGTGGAGACTATAGAGCACTTAACGCGAGAACAATACCCGACAGGTACCCTATCCGCCACATTCAAGATTTTTCTCACCAGCTAGCAGGCTGCACTATTTTTTCAACTATAGACCTGGTAAAGGCATACAACCAGATAGCTATCAACCCTGAGGATATACCGAAAACCGCGATAACTACACCTTTCGGCCTGTATGAATTCCCTTTCATGACTTTTGGTCTGAGAAACGCGGCTCAAACCTTTCAAAGGTTTATCGACGAAGTACTGCTGGGTATGGATTTTTGCTACGGATACGTCGACGACATCCTGGTATTTTCAACAACTCCAGAAGAGCACAAGAAACACTTACGATTGTTGTTCGAGCGCCTGAGACAATATGGTGTTGTCGTCAATTCAGCTAAGTGCAACATCGGGCTGCAACAGGTAACCTTCCTAGGATACAGTGTGTCTGCTGAAGGTATAAAACCAAGTCAGTCCAAGGTGCAAGCTATCCAAGAGTACCCAAAACCTAAAACTGTGAAGGAGCTGCGTCGATTCCTGGGTATGTTGAATTTTTATCGCCGATTTGTTCCAAAGGCAGCTCAACTACAGGCACCGTTAAACACAGCCCTTGCTGGCCCTAAGATTAAAGGTTCGCATCCAGTTCAAATGACGCCAGAGATGCTGACGGCTTTCGAAGACTGCAAATCCTCACTGTCTCAAGCAACACTCCTGGCACATCCACACCCATCTGCAAAGTTGGCAATTTTCACCGATGCATCAAATATAGCTATCGGAGCTGTTCTCCAGCAGCGCAATGGTAATGACTGGCAACCATTAGCTTTTTTCTCTCACAAACTAAACAATGCTCAAAGGAAGTACAGCCCTTACGACAGAGAGCTGCTGGCAGTGTATGAAGCTATTAAGTATTTTCGCCATATGGTGGAAACTAGAAACTTCACAGTATTCACGGATCACAAGCCCCTTATCTACGCCTTCAAATCCAACAGAGAGAGCCTTCCTCCGAGACAGTTCCGATACCTGGACTATATAGGCCAATTTACAACCGACATAAGATACCTACCAGGTAGCGAGAACGTTGTTGCTGATGCATTATCGCGTATCGAAGAAGTATCCACTGCCATTAACTTTGAAGCCCTTGCACGACTTCAGGAAAATGATCCAGAATTGCAAGAACTTCTCCTTCATGGTTCAGCACTTAAACTAAAGAAGGTGGCATCTACTGCCAATGGGAACATACCAGTTTATTGCGACACATCGACACAAGTACCCCGCCCGTATGTAACGCCAACACTGCGGAGAGATGTCTTCAACTCGTTACATAATTTGCACCACCCTGGGAAATCTGCTACAGTGCGACTGGTGACACAACGCTATGTATGGCCAGGGATTCGCAGAGACTGTAGAGAGTGGACGAGGCAATGTATGCAATGCCAGACTTGTAAAGTCACACGTCACACCAAATCTCCCCTGTCCTCTTACCTTACTCCATCCTCTCGTTTCTCACACATTCATCTTGACATTGTAGGGCCTTTAACCCCTTCATCTGATTACAGATACTGCCTCACCGTCATTGACAGATTTACTCGATGGCCTGAGGCGTACCCCATCAGAGACATCACGGCGGAAACCTGCGCATCTACTCTGGTGACACACTGGGTGGCCCGCTTCGGTTGTCCAGCACGGGTGACCACCGACCGTGGCCGCCAATTCGAGAGCCACCTTTTTAAAGCTCTCACTGTCTTGTTGGGGACAGAGCACCTACGCACGACAGCCTACCATCCAGCAGCAAATGGCATGGTGGAACGACTGCATCGACAGCTGAAGGCTGCCATCATGTGCCACACGTCTTCGCAGTGGACTGAAGCTCTTCCACTAGTACTTCTCGGCATGCGTAACTCTTGGAAAGAAGACATCCAGGCTACGCCGGCTGAACTTGTCTACGGGGAGGCGCTACAGCTTCCTGGCCAGTTCATATCTTCGAAGACGAACTTCACTACAGCTGACATCACAGATTACGCACACCGCCTACGACGTCACATGGCCAACCTCACGCCTAAGACTACTACCTGGCATAGTTCATCTCCCTTCTACGTGCCACGCGACCTTCACTCTTCCACTCACGTCTTCCTCCGACGAGACCACGTACGTCGGTCACT